AGATACGAACCCCAGACAAAACTACCAGTGTTCAGCGAATTTACTACTCGGCGCTGGAGGGCCCTTTATATATAATGGAGAGGGAAGGATTACATAAGCTTTGCATTGTAAATTTTGTATAGTAATTTAAAAAATACACACTATTTATTAAAATATTTATCCAATGAAGTCTGCTTACTTAATTTCTGTTTAGCTTAATCATTCTTTTTTAAAAATCAGTTTGAAAGTAATTAACCGTCTTACTGCTATCAATCATCTGTCTGAGGAGGAAGAAAAATCAATAGCAGCGTCTTCCTTTACTCTGAATTGTGTTTTTAAATCTAACGCTTATGTTTTTTACCCACCTTAATCTGACTTTAATCACTTAAAATTTGCGAAATTTAAAATAAGAAAATGCATACATATATAGAGTTTTAAGTTAATTAACCCAGCCATCTTATTCCTTTAGCTATACTATGATTTCTATTTTCAACTCCCGCTAGAATGCAGTTAATTGATTTACATGAGCGCAGAGTTCTTGAATTTGAAGACAGAACTTTTGGAAGCTACGTCTGACTGATTACTCAGTTTCACTTTCCTGTTACTGAATCGATTTATTGGCTTTAACTTTGCTAGCCGCGTTTGCTTCGTGAATACTTAGAGCCAAAGCGGCTAATCTTTGGAATATGGTAACAGGTAGTTTGGCGACATTTTGGTAAGGCGATAAAGGTTACTAGCTAGGACTTTAGCAGTGTACATGGATAAAGTCAAGAGTGCGCGCAATGCCATTTTTGTGCAATTCTGGGATGTTTTTTTTAAGTGAAAATAGGTTGACGTGTACATGGATACCGTGTATATGCAATTCTTAAAAACGCGGCAAGCAGTTTGCGATTCTGCACTTTCTTACAATTTCACACCTAATCTTCGTCATGATTAAGCACTTTTGTTTCATAAAAGTTCTAGCATAAACGTAATTCGGCTAGCAGATTGTTGGAAAAAAAATGTTGAGTTTAAAAAAAAAAAAAAAAAAAAAAAAAAAAAACATGTATTTACTTTGTGAAAACAAAATGGCGTCTAAACAAAAACTAGCAGTTTGCTGTAGCAGGTTTGGTCGCCAAATTTTCATCAAAAAATCGCCAAGTTACCATAATTCAAAGATAAACCGCCAAAGCTTAGTTAGGCGCATGTTATTTTGTATTTAATATTCTAATCTGATTAGAACATTTTTCTTTGTTTCCCGCAAGCTGAGGCTTTTGAATTTCTGTTATTTCATAACTTATGTAAACATTAAGCTGCAGAATAAATAAACAAGCTCGTTTTAAATGCTCATCTGAATTAGTATTTATTGTATTTTAGAAGTAAGTAAACAGACAGACAGACGATTTATCGTCTCGTCTTACTACTAAAGTATAGTAAATACAAACTCAGATGAATATGAATTTTCTGTATTTTAGAAGCAAGGCAGAAATTCCGGAAATCTGGAAAAAACCGGATTATCTACGACTGGACTTTGGAATGTCAACATATAACAATAAAATGCATACCTCTGGCCTGCATTTTACATTTACCGCATACCTTCGTTTTCTATGTACAAAACATTCTGGCATATTTAGCCTTATTCTTAAGAGAATATAAAATAATAAGAAAATGCTTATATATAGTGCTAATACAATTTTAAAGAATGGTAAAACAATAAAAATCACACATTCTAATCAAGGCCTTCCATTAAGAATGGAAAATAAGTCTAATTTGAAAACAAAACGCCTCTTTGAGGTATAAAAATTTTAAATGAAAAAAAAAAAAAAAATCTAAAAAAATTAATTAAAATTCGGGCCTCAAACCACGGGCCTCCCGAATACGCGCTGGGCATGCTGGCCACTACACTACGAAGGCATGCTAAGGAGACGGGAGCAATACCTTATAAATCTTCAAACTGATCTTTGTATCCAGATTCCTGTTTGACATCTGAAACACTTTTAAACTAAACAGTTACGGCTGCCTATTAGTTCCAGACTTAATCTTAAAAACTCAAAATATAAGAGCTGCTCAAAATAGAAGCTTCAGATGGAAAAAACTGCTGTAATATTGTTCCATCAGAAATTAATGCCACATGGAGATTTTTACGTTAATTTAAGAAGAAAGAACTTAATTATTCAAGACATTGTTGTATATTTTTCATTGGAGAGCCTGTGGGCAATGCTTCTAACTAATATTTCTCGCGAATGAAATGGTAACAATTTCCATTCACCCAGGACACGAAATTCGCAGTGAAAATTACAGTGTCTCACAAAAGTGATGGGACACTTGTGCTTTACAAAAGTAAACTGTAATAAAATAAATTTAAAAAAAATGTAAAACTTTTTTGTGGGTGTGTTTCATACTTAAATTTAGTAACAATTATTACTTAACATACATTTTCTCAAACTATTAAAATATTAATTTAATAAAAATACAATTGTTTAAAACGGAGCAAAAAATGGCTCACATAAGTGATGGGACACCATTAGATACTACTAACGTACTACAATAAAAATATTTTTTTGGGTTTTTATTTTTACTCAAAAGCAATTGGCAATAATTTATAAAATCGTCTGCAGTATTTCTCTCCAGTTTGTTTTGGTATTTTTGTGTTTTTTAGCTCTGTGCAGCTATGAATGCTAAACGAAAAGAAACTTTGCCTGAAATTCGAAAATTAGTTATTAATTTGCATATTGAACGTGGAAAATCTATTAGAGAAACTCCTAAAACAGTTTACAGTATCATTAAACGATATAAAAAAAATCATATGATTCAGGGTAAAAGAAGACCTGGCCGACCATCAAAGCTATCCAATGGAATAAAGCGAATTATCGTTCGAAATATTAAAAAAAAATCCAAGAATGAGTGCTCCTAAAGTTGCTGCTGATTTACAAGCATTATATGGAGTAATTGTTAATCCTGAGACTATTAGAAGAGTAATTCGATCTGCTGGATATCACGGTAGAGCAGCCAGGAAAAAATTCTTCGTAAGTGAAAAGAATAGAAAACTCAGACTGGCTTTCGCAAAATCCAACATAAATAAGAATTCTGATTACTGGAATGAAGTTATATTTGCTGATGAGAGTAAATTTAATATATTTGGTTCTGACGGTAGAATCTTGGTGTGGAGAAAACCCAGGGAAGAATTTCATAAACAGAACTTGGTGCCAACAGTAAAACATGGTGGAGGAGGAGTTATGGTATGGGGGTGTATGTCGTCCGCTGGAGTTGGTAATCTTGTTTTTATTGACAGTATAATGGATCAGTACAAGTATATTGACATTTTAAATCAAAATTTGAAATCTTCAGCACGAAAATTGAACCTTCATAACGATTTTAAATTCTACCAGGACAATGACCCCAAGCACACTGCTTTGAACGTTAGACTCTGGCTGCTGTATAACTGTCCTGAAATAATAAAAACACCACCACAATCTCCAGACTTAAATCCCATACAGAATATTTGGCAAGAATTGGAATCAAGAATTCGCAAACACACCATTTCTTCAAAACAACAATTAAAATCGGTGCTTCAAGAAGAATGGGGTAAAATCACAAAAAAAAAAAAAAAAAAAAAAAAAAAAAAAAAAAAAAAAAAATTAGTCGAATCCATTCCTCCATTCCAAGAAGATTAAATCATGTTTTAAAAGTAAAAGGAAATCCAACAAAATATTAAAACCTTTTATAAAGTAAAATTTTTGGATAAATATTTGATGGAAAAGTAAGTGTCCCATCACTTATGTGAGCCATTTTTGGCTCAGTTCTAAACAATTGTATTTTTATTAAATTAATATTTTAATATTTTGAGAAAATGTATGTTATGTAATAATTTTTACTAAATTTAAGTATGAAACACACCCACAAAAAATTTTTACATGTTTTTTTAATTTATTTTACTACAGTTTCCTTTTGTAAAGCACAAGTGTCCCATCACTTTTGTGAGACACTGTATATCTTAATAATGAAAATCATATTTTAAGTGTCAAAATTATATTTATTATATTTTATATTTGTATACTTTTACTTTTATTAAAATAATATTTTATTTATTATATTACGTATTTATTTTTATTTTATTAGTTTAAATGCATATCATGAAAATGTTACGGGCACTTTTTAATTTCTGCATTGTTTACCTAAAAGATTGATTTATATTTGTGCATAGGAAATTTGACGATAATATTTATAATTTTAATTTATTTGTCAATAAATTGTCGATAATATTTGTCAATCACGAGATAACAAAATGACTATTTAAAAAAAAAATCCTTCCAACTTGCTTGGTAAGTATACAGACATACACTTGTTGAAATTTATTAACAATTCTTCAAATATTACAATAACAATAAATTGTTATTAAATTTTAAAAACTATAAATTCCAAGAAAATAATTAAAATGCAACTTTTTTTCGTATAACAATGAAAAAATATAAACTATTAAGAAAAAATAATCCTCTTCCCCCCATCTGAAACAAAATTCATGAAAATTTCAAAATATTTTATTGTTGCTGACGAATTATTATAACATAGTATTTAAAATTTCTTTTATTCAGCTGGAAGTAAAATTATTGAATCATTCTCAGTTTGGCCTTATACTACCTGAAAACATCTTGTCTTTAAAGAAACCCATTAATGTTGCCAAACTTTTCTTTTTGTTCATGGAATTAATTCTAAGATAAATGTTTCTATTTCAATGCAATAAAAATTTTTAATGTTATACATAACGTGTAGCATTTAAATAAACCAAACAGTAGCATTATTCATACACAATACAGCAATATTTTTCGTTTCCGAGGATGCAACCCAAATAATAATAATTACATAAATAAATAATAGTAATAATAATTGCATCTTTCTTTCGCAGCATTGCGAAAATCTCTCTGTCACGTGTTTATATTTTGCTCCGACATATATGAGAATATACTTGCACTGCAGAATATTAAAGAATACATAATTGCAAATAGTATCACCAAACATTTTACTGAAGAAGATTTATAACTTACCTGTTGTTTACTCTGAAGAAATCAGTCACAGTATAATTATAATAGAAGGTTTTAAAGAACTCCTTACTTCGCTAGCACATCCTAACCCAAACAACGGAAGAAGTTTAAATTTTCCCAGGCTATCGTTCGCTGAACCGTGATTGGTTAAACAGGTTGAAGTCTTCCTAGAACGTCATATGACACAGACTGCAAGGCCATGAAACAGGTTCTTTCGAAAGGGAAAAAGTATCGCCTCATTTCAAAGCATAGGAGCTGTGATTCATACAGGTAAATTCGCTGAGTTTTTTTAATCTTGTTTCTGCTTCTCTTTCTGTCTTTACTTTTTTTATTTCTTTGCGAAATCTAATCACACGTTCCAGTTTCTTCCTATGCAATAAAAGATAGCTATTCTTGCCAGAAAGTTAAGTGTATTTTGCAGTAGTATTATCGCGCTTGCTAAGTTGTCAGTTGTTATTCCTTTATTTCGATTTTGCAAACATTCTTTTTTTTTTTTTTTAATCGTTAATTTTGAGTATCGTAAAAATTTATAACCATGCTCATACAGGTATAGAAGATGTCTATTTCGTATGCACCTCCTTTTCATTATGATACTTCGAAGTGGGCTCTAAAATTTACTAATAATTCTAGAAACTGTCATAATCAAAATGCAATAAAAGGTGTATCCGGATTAAAGGAAAATTTCTTTAAACTAAACTTTCATTCCAACTTGTAATATAGTAAGTATACTAAAGTGTTCAATATGAAAATTATCTTACGTCGAGAGCTTGTAAGATTCAACTACTGTTACTTTAACTGTTATCTTTACATAAATCAGTTGGAATAGCGGAAGGAACAGGAAATAATACTGTTCCTACTTATTCTAGGCTACTGTAGGCTCATTTTAGTTGCCAGAGGTTGTAAGGTATTTTTTTCTCTTCTTACCATGTACTCTCGTGATATTACTAGGAAGCACGTCTAATTAGCATCGGAAGTTCCGGAGTTCGAATCCTGACAAGGGATTTTACGACTCTTGCTCTAAAATAAATCTAATAACTCTACAAAGTTCATTTTAATAGTCTATAATTATTCAACTAGGGAATGATTGTTGAATAGTAATAGTTTGGCTTCAAGTTTTACGGCGCAGTGAGCTCATTGCATGTGTGTTTTGTAATGTTTCCTCGCACAAGAATTACTGTAAATCATTCAGGAAAGGATATTCTTCTTAATGTTCTTTGTTTTGCTCTAATATATATTACCTGGCTGACACTCGATTTCATTAAATTTACCGGTTGATCTTTACATTATGGTAACTTGGCGTTTTTTGGCGAAAATTTGGCGACCAACTCTCCTACAGCAACCCTCTATATTTTTTTCCCGCCGCCATTTTGTCTTCACGAAGTAAAGACATGTTTCTTTTCTTTTTATCTACTGAACACTTCTTCCAACAATCTACTAGCCGAATTACACTTATGCTAGAAACGCGTTTTTCAAAATAACACATACACATAAACCATGTACACGCCGACTTATTTTTACTTAAAAAAACATCCCAGAATTGCACAAAAATGGCATTGCGCACACACTGTTCACTATATCCATGTACACTGCTTTTTTCTCATAAATTACAAAAATTTCACGAAAATACATGACAATTTTCTCAATCTTTAAACCCGGTAAAAAGAACATATATGAAATTACCTGATCGCGAAAAAGTATTTACCCTTTCCAAATATGAACATTTCCACATATAAAATAAATAAAATATCCAAAAACTTTTACCTCTAAATCATCTATTACATTATACACGTCACCAACGAATTCATACCGCAACAATTACAAATACTTAGTGTCAGATATTTAAATTATTTCCATGCACGTTTACTTCAACTAAAACGTATACCAAATTCCTACAAACATAAAATTCACAAAATAACTATAATTTAATTAAATATAATTAAATTCAAAAACACTACTTAAAATTATAATGAGCACATACATTAAATTAATACATACATAAATACCCATTTTGAATTCACTTTAGTTACGGCCATGGGATCCAAAAATTCACGAACACTGTTTCACACAACACAGAATAAAGCCAAATACAAAATTTCCCGATTTCCCCCCTTTTCCGATTAAAGAACCGTAATTTGTCCATTAATATCACATGACATATCCCATGATCTCTCATTTCCCTCACACAAAATAATGCGTAATCGGAACTGAGTACTGCTCACATTATTACCAAAGTCCCAGGTAGTAACCTTTATCGCCTCCAAAATGTCGCCAAACTACCAGTTACCATATTGTAAAGATTATCCAATTTACCTTTATAAGCAAAATACTTTACTTATCAAAGCGTTTCCCAAAATAAAATTGCTTTTAATAATCTTCAAGACCATCGAATGTCTTAAAGATTATTAAAAGTAGGTGTACCCAAATTGGAATTGAATTTAAATATTAAACTCTCAGTTGTTGTAGCCCACCAGCGGCCGAGCGGTAAAGTCGCTGAACATTGGTAGTTCGGTCCGAGGTTCGAATCCCGCGAACGGGCTGGCTGCATGGGCGTTTTCGTGGTTTTCCCCATGTGTAACGTGTATACGGGCCAGTTTTCCTTAGAAAGTCCTCCACGAAGGCATCCCTCATCTTAAGCAGATAGCCCTCGAGGCTTTGCCATAATCACACACACGCCCTCAGTTGTAAGTTGGTCTTTATGAAATACAGTATTTTACGGACTATAAAGACGCTACGGATTATAAGACGCACGCTTAATTTTTAAGCGATTTTTTTTAAATAACATTTTTACCATTTTTATTATTAGATTGCAAAGCCAGTTAAAAAAAAAATAGTTTATGAAATAGAATTGACATTTAAAATCCTTGAAAATCGTCATTTGAAATTTCTTCCTCTTCATCGTCATCATTGTCCTCATATTCTTCGCTGCCATTACTTATGCCGCACTTCTTTAAAGATTTAACAATAATATCTTCTCTCACTCTACACAATGTTGCCAGTTGAATCCAATGTTGCCAGATACAGAAAGGTTTCCCGCGGCTTCGAATATATGGCCATTTTTAAGACTGGCGAGAATTTTAAATCAAACACTGGACATTTTTATATTAATTTCGAGTATAAGACGCAACTGAATTTTGGAGGCAGTTTTTTGAAGAAAAACGTGCGTCTTATAGTCCGTAAAATACGGTAAATTTTTTCAAGCACTGTTTGTAGGGAAGGGAGGATCAAATAAAAATCATTAACTAAATTTGTCACGTTCTAGTGAACCTAGAAATTTTTAAGGAATTCTTATACATTAACTGAGGGAATTTTTTAAATAATTTTAGAAGAAAATTTAAGTAACCCTAAAGCTTTTAGAGATGGAGGATTTATTGAACAGTCTTTTTCGAACATAACCTTAATGAGAAATTTCACCGCTGCTTTAGTTTGATCGGTATTATAATGTATTTTCTCCCTCCTTTCTATATATCTGTGTGGTATAACTGGAAGCACGCTCGATGCGTGTTTGGAAGGTGCAAAGTTCGTATCCCGGCAAGGACATGGCGGGTTTCTTTGCTTCCAAGTACTCTAATGAACTCTATACAGTGAACATTAAATTACACTGATATTTATATTCTCCAAGAATTCGGATCCGATATTTGGTATTTTCTTACAAAAAGAGGAGACGGAAGTATAGCTTGTGCTGAATTTGAGGAATATTGAAACTGATTGGAAAGGAGAAGGAAATTATTGCTACTGTTTTCAACGGAGGAATATTCTTTATAATACTTTTTTTTTAAGTTTCACCAATAACGACAGAGAATATACTTTAAAGAGAATCATTCAACTTCAAATGCAAAATTAAATAGAAATCAATTTTGGATTGACATTATTATCGATTTCGAAGGACTCTATATAAAACCAATACTAGACTTTTTTTTTTTTTTTTTTTTTTTTTTAATTTTAATACAAAGAAGAAAAAGAACCTTCTAAAAGGCATGTATTAAATATAAATATCTATAACGTAAGTGCAGGCTTACGAATCTGTACCTCATTCCACTACTTGCAACTTTCCTAACTCTATTAATAATACAAGTAGGCTTGGCTGTAGTGTTCCCCCCCCCTAAAAAAATCTGTTGTGTACACCACATGACTTCCTTGGTGCGGCCGATTGCAACCAAAATACGAGGTGCACATCTACATGTTATAGCAGTCCTATATACAAAATTTCAACGTTCTGAGGCTACTCGTTTTTGAGTTATGCGAGATACGTACGTACGTACATACGTTCGTACAGACGCCACGAAAAATTCTCTTCAGAATTAATTTAAGCAGTTTTATAATTTTTTTGAAGGAAAAGAGTATTTTATTCTGTCCTTACGTACAGATATGACGCAAAAACATCGTTAAATTGCATTAGATAGCGGTCAAAATGGATATTTTCGTTGAAATATGCTACCTGAAACTTTTCGCGATTACAATACTTCCTTTTTACTTCGTACAAAGAAGTTAAAAAGAGGAAGGGGAAAAATTCTGAAATTATTTTCAGATATTAGCGTCGCACACCAGAGTATTTCTTAAGGACATTTTTATGCATCGCAGGTTACCAATCTACTCTTGATTCACTCCGGCTAAAACACTTTTTTTTTTTTTTTTTTTTTTTTTTTTTTTTTTAAGCATTATTATTAAAGATCGTTTTCTTCGCACTTACGACTCATTAAATTCAAGAACGAAATCACAAAATGTTTATAAACAGCATATCTTTAAGATTCCTGATAGATTGTTAGGGGTTCCAGGTTCCATGCTTTTTTTAGTTCGCTAAATTATTTCTTTGAAAACTAGCCACTGCAGCGGCCAGCCGCCTAAAAGATTTATCCTAAAAAAAGATAAAAGTATATAATGATTTTAATAAGTCCAGCTAGTGTCATTTTATAAAAATATTTAATATTTCTAATTAGACATCTCATGATTTAAATGTATTTTTATTAAAATCAATCAGAACTGCGTTCATTGTTTTTCAATCACTTGCTTTGCTACTAACAGAAGATTAAATTTGAAAGTTTACGCTTTAAATTTACGCTCTTACGCTTTAATGAAAGGCGTCATGCTGGTGTGTGGATTCAAATAACCGAGTTTGTGGATTGAAATTTAAAGCTGTCTTACATTTTGTGGAACGGCAAAAATCTGTGACAATGGAGATAAAAACGTTTTATTTCGGACACTGTTGCTAGTTCT